ATGAAAAATCAAGTTGACATATTGTTGGATTGGGACGAGAAATTAAACTTGTTGAACTACTATTAGTTGAATATGTTGCATTTGATAAAGCTAAAAGTAGAAAAACAAAAATACGTTTGATATATCTGTGATGTTGGAAATTTCGGTTTTCTTGTTCGAGATTACATAAAAGTATAGTAAATGTGTCAATTATGTTAGTCATAAAATTTCAGACGATTTATCAGCTTTTTTTTGAAATGTGCCCGTTAACGTTTACTCCTTTTTTGAATGTATTTTCTAACAGAAATGAAGTCATAGGTTGTATAATTCTGAAGTGTGGAAAAAAAAGCACGTCGTACATTTACCGCCTGGAAACTTCAACATCTTTTCTGAGAAAAGTCATCGGTTATTCGGAGGGTATTGATTCAGATGTAAAAACAAGTATTCTTTTACCTAATGTGTTCTTGCGTGTGCATCACGCAAGGTTTAGCGGCTGGCCCCTGAACGAGCGAAGAGGATCGAGCTGTGTTTTGTAACGCGCAGACTATAGTTCCAGTACTGCTAGTTTACACGTTTGTACTTAATTCTACAGAGCAACACTGCCAGCAGTAAAATGATGAGTTTGAGACAAGATGCCTGAACTTCAAAGTAGAACATGTGTTTGGATTTGCTCGAGGGCTGATGGAAGGCGGTCTGAGCTGTTTTTCATAGCACTATTGCATTCAGCCTAAGGCGTAGCAGGAATTGGCTTTCCTGAGTTTATTTGATGCTATTATCATCCCTGCAAACTGATCTGTTTTCTTCTTTTGATCGTTAGTTCATCTACTGCTACTGTCAGTTTTACGAAAATATATACTTACTTGTTAATGGCATCTCTTCTGGTTGAATAAACCAAAATGTTGAATTTATATCCGATTGTATCGACCAGGTTCCCCGATAATTTCGAAACAATACACACGTTCTATTACTTGTAAAACAGTTTAAACCAAGATATGAGTTATTTTGAAATGCATAACATAGGCATTGTTGACATGATGAAATATTTGTCACTAGTTGAGTATAAGTATTGTTACCATTTAATATTAAAATACCATCGTGTATGTAGTACACACGAAAACAGCCAGCAACACAAACCAAAAACAGTGCCGATAGTACAAGGCGTACCATCTTTATCGTTTGGGAAATAAAATCGCTCATGTTTAATTTAAAACTATATTCTTCTCCATTCTGTTTTGTTCTTCTATCCATTTTATA